CCATGACCCATACCTGGGCAAGCTTATGTATATATTTATAGCACATTTTTTTAAAAATAAATAATTTACAAGATCAATAATCTTATAAACAATTCATGTATAACTTGTAATCAACAAATAACTCGTGTAAAATTATGCGTGTTAGGTTCAAATTGTAATTGGCTATTTTCGTTCGAAATTATAGTTATTGAGTTATAATTAAAGTCAATATAGTTGGAGTTGATGATATACGTCTTGAATGAGTCAAATATTGAATAAGGAGAAAAAGTTGTCACAAAACCGCTCGTTGGCTGCGAGCTTGCCTCTCGAGTGATGGGCTTATTGCTCGCTAAGCAGGAAGGTAGCTCTTGGCGTATTTATCCGGTCAATCCTAGTTCGTGATTTTCTTCATATTTTGAAGTTCTATCCAATCTCAAACACTGCCTATTACATATATCCAAATCATTATTCGTCCCAAAGTGTGTTAAATCACTATTTCATATTAAAGAACATATTATTTAAGATCAATTACATATCTAAAGATCTCTTGATTCAACTATGTGATCAAAGCTTCATAATTATTCCCAAATATATTTTGCTATCGGTTGAGCCTTCATTTTAGTGAAGAGAACATTCTTTGAAGATTATAAACTTAATATCTATCATTCTCTTGCTTCAACTAAAGATCAAAACACAAAAAATCATAGATTAAACACCAAATACCCTTATTTGCACCAATAAGCTTTTAAAGTTCTGTAGTTTGGGAAGAGACAACTTGGAGTTTCAGTTGTTTCGATATGAGATTCATTATTGGTGTTCTACATGGAGGGAAAAGAAGTCTATAGTTCTCAAAAGTGCAGGTTATATAATCGAAGATGTTCTTCAGTTATTTACATGTTAGATAGTCATAGTATAATGAGGTTTTAGTTGTGTCTGAACAAAGTGAAAGTTATTTTTTCTTGTTGATCTTTTTGACAAGGTTTGCCCAAAGTTTTTGATCCCTATCAAGAGCTCTTTAAAGGATTTTCCTTCGTTATCAATTTTTTGTGTTGATTTACTTTTTCCTTTTATTGCTTTTTATCTACGATGTGTGATTGTTTAATTACGATTTTGTATGACATAGTCATTTAAACATAATAATTTGTGATGTGTTGCTTATTATTGTTTTAATTTCGTATGATACACCCTATAGGTGTAGTTGGGTATAAACATCCTATTATTTCAATGTGAAATAACATAACAGTGAACTTTTTTTTATCAATAAATTCTACTCATATCTAAATCAAATCAAACACCTCTTCTTTAAAATGCAATCATTTAGCGACAACAAACATTATTCCTCAAACAAGCAAATCAAAAGGCACAAAATTAAGAAGGTGAAATTTAAAAAGTGAAAATCAGGTTTGTAAAGTACAGGAATATTGTTCATATTTCTTCATAGAATAACTTTTTGAAAGTGTCGATATGCTCTGTCTGCAAGCACAATGCAGCGGTAATGGATTCATCTCGTCCTGGTACAAGGAAAGATTTCCCGTCGAAACCCATTGTTGCAGGACCCATGTGAATTACTTTCCCCAGCCCAAAATCAGCATCATATATAGACATAGATGTCCAACTTGTGATTTCCATATTAGGGTTTCCGAAGAAACCCCCCAGTGCACACCCTACTGTGTGAAAATTACGATGTATAGACACATCAGGTAGATTCTTGATCAGTGCAAGATAAGACCTTACATATTCATCTGTTACCTTCTCAACTGCTTCACGTATCTTACTCGAAGCATAAGCCAAGGGGTTTGAGAGCAACTCTCCTGCTGTGGTTATTGCTGCTTGGCGTAGATTGGCATTTCCAAAGTAATCTCGTGGTAATGGTGGCTGCATTCTATTTCTGAAGTCGACAGGTATGTGTAATCTCGTTAGTTGATTGTTTACATGCCCCCGCGCCTTGGATGCGCACCTCCACATATGCCCAGCCACAGCCTCGTATCTGTAAGAAATTCACAGGTAGTCAGTTGAGTCAATGGTCTATTTTCTTCACATAAAACAGTAAAATATGAGAAGCGTACTTCAAATCTATTACCTGCTATATGGACGAGTAGTGTTTTTGTATGGTGTATCTTCATTTGCCTTGCTTTTCAATTTACCGATTTGTTCTTTGCTTAGCTTCAGCATGGCCACCGTTGTTGGCTTCTTCCGCTCCTCCATATTGTCCGATTGACCTTCCAGGAGTGGCGGCTGTGTCAGCAAGACTGTGTGATCAAATTTCGAA